TTCTCTGCCTGTCTGGTTTGCAGACACCAGAGAAAAGCTGCCTGAACTCAAGGGCCGATTTGAAATCGGGACACAGTCGGGCATTTTTGCAACTCCTCCCGTCCTACGCATCTTCCAGTCATCGAAGTCCAGGCGGTTGACATGCGCCTGCTGAGAACTGAAAGGCGCCGACTGATAGCCATACCTGGCTGACGGAGAGGCCATCGCGGCTTCAATGTCTTGGACACTGCTCCGATCCCTCAGGCGATTGGGGGAGGCGGCCATTCGTTCAGTTCCCCCTTCTGCTACCTCACCGTAGGTGTTGGCTAAAGTGTGGGTGCACATTTGGCAGGCTTGCTGATAGGGGCGAGATGTCTCCGTAACTGAATCCGACCAATGGGGCCGAATTTTTTTGGCGGCCGGAAGCTGGGGTGTATTAGAGCGCTGTCCACAAGGATCACAGAGGCTGTATTGACGATGAAAGAGACAACAAAAGGAACGAACTGGGGCACTTTGCAATTTTGTCTGGGGTGCTAGTTGCTGCGAGGAGTACGTCAGTTTAGGTTGACCCTCAACCTGATATGTATAGGCACAAGTCTTGACGGTGAGTGGATTGTCGCTGAAACGACGTTGAGTTGAGACCGGTGGCCGAAGAGAAAGCAGGTCTTCCTGTGAATTCTCTTCCAGGCTGTGCAGGATGCTACCCTCACCACTGTCAAACCCAAAGGAGGGCACAGTAAGCTCCCTCAGCAAGGGTGACCCTGTGGAACTAACGTTGGTGCTGATTTGTTGTTCTAGATGGTTGTGGATAATGGCCTGGCTCATAGGGGTGGTCTGTTTCCACAGACGTGGGAGGCGTTTTTGGCTGTTAACCTCATGGCCGGCCTTTTTGCCTGATTCGCAGGATGCTTGGCGCAATTCCAGGCTCCTGTTCTCCATGGCTTTTCGGTCTCCGGCTGTCGATTTGTAGGCATTCTTTCTGCAAGTAAAAGTGTGCATGTTAGCAGAAGCATAGATTATCAGAAGCGAAACCCGCCACCCACTAGGGGGTCTTAGGAACCCAACTTCTAGATACA